GCATGGGAAGCTGCAGTTCTGGTTTTGAGATGCTAGGGCAGCTCAGTCCCTTGCCCTTGCCCTGCATGTCTTGTTACTGGGTCTCCCTGTGTCATTGTGGCATTATTCCACAACCATCATGTTTCTTAGGTGCCAAACATTTACAGAAGTAAGTTTTCATATATCTTGGAGTCAAAGAATAGATACAGAAGGACCTTGCTTGCCAGGAAGCTGTGCGGTTAGTCGTGGGAGGGTGGGTAGTCTGGGCATGCCTCATGGCCCTGGATGTTGGGTACTAAAAAGCCCAAGAGCCTGAAAGGGATGGCAGGTGAGTTCCTAGGGCTGAGCAGTTGAGCAGCAGCTTGACACAGTCCTTGCCATCAAGACAGATCTGTGGTCCTCCTGGTTTGCTTCCCAAGCCTGGTTGTGTGTAAGAGCAAGGTGGGAGCCTTTTTTTGTGCATTACATACATCACACTTTCCTGTGGGCCAGTATTGTGAAGTGAGTCTAAGTTGTTTACACTTATGCTTTCCTGCCCACTACAAAATGTGTACATAGTCTCCAGGTGGTACCACCCTTTTCCCCAGCTCCCTAACCAGGAGCTGGTTCTAGGCCTGTGTTATATGTTCTATTTAGCCATTTTATATATGACCTTTGATTTCTGGTTGTATTTTAGCACAATGTGTGCACCTTCATTTAAATAATCTGTGTGTCAGTGCGTGCACACGTGCATATGTATATATATATATATATATAAACTATATATACGTATATATAGTTTATGGATGTTACGAAACCTGGTTTCCTTATAATCACCTGCAGTTTCTCAGAGTTCAGCTGAAGGAAATAAGAGTCCTTGGAGCCCAGGAGAAAGACTGTATCCTTGCTAATAGTGTTTGCCACAAGTATTAGTGAGTCTTCCCTATTACCTTTTTTCCTTCAGGAGACTGAACGAAGCAAAGCTTCAAGTGTTTGCTGTTTCCATGGCAGCTAAGTGAGGGTCTTGGGATGACTCCCTGTGTTCCTCAAATGGCACTTTGGGGCCCTTTGTGCAGTATTAGCCCCCTTTTGCTCAGTGATGCTCTGTTTGCACCCATATGTACGTGACAGTCACTCTTGCATGCCTTTTGTGTCTGGCTTGTGGCATTTGGGGACAGGATTCTGGAACCAGAACATTTTCAGCTTGAAGCTACTTTCTTCTTTTCCTTGCCTTCTCTTGAGAAAGGGAGGGCTCTAGTCAGACATGGGTTGAGATGAGGTGAGGTTGGCTCATGACATTTTCTTCTCCTGAATGGCCATTTTAGAGCAGGGCAAGTGACGTTGTTTTGCTTTGTTCCCAAACATTTAAGCAGGCAACACACAGTTCTAAAACTGAGGCTCAACAAGGTGGTTTTGCCCAAGCGTATATACCTTCTAGGCAGTAAAAACACTGCTTCTGTTCAACTGCAGAAATAGACTGTGAATCACTAGCAATTACTTTCTGACTTGTTCCTTAAGTCAAAGGGCGTATGCCTTTCCCAAATGCAGCCTGAAGTCTGCAGCTGCTGAGATACCACCCACTGTGTAGCTGGGGGACTTTGAGAAACCACATGATCAGAGCTGTTTCTGCCTACTCCCAGCCTTTCAGGGTGGAAAATGCATGGTAGGGAGTAACGAATGGTACAAGAGAGTGCTTAGAACTGCGGGTTAAGAAGAAAGGCTGCATAATTAACACATCTGCAAGCTGAACAACCAGCAAGCATGACTCCCTCAGCAACAGGAAAATGTTTTGTATTTGAGTTCCTGTGTGCCCAAAACGGACACCATCTTTTGAAAGCCTGCCACTCGAACTTCTATTTGTGGGCCAGGCCTGTCCTGCAGAGCTGGCTCCTGAGTTGGAACGGAAAGGAGGAAAGATAGGGCTGGAAGCAGCTGGCGATGTGGTGGGCATAGGGCAGAATGATGGTAGAGAGGGGGCTATGGCCAGAAGGACTGAGTGCTGAGGCCTGCCTGGGTGCCATTGCGGTAGCCAGAGGCAGCTGAGCCCTCCTCAGGGAGGGGCTGCTCACAGCCTTCAAGAGCTGGCCAAATGCCACCTATTTGTATTGTGATAGCACCACCACTGCTCAACCACCAGCCAGAGGAGTATTTAAAAAAAAAAAAAAAATTATTCCTTGTTGTAATCATAATTAATTCTTAGGAAAAAATTGGAAATTTAATTTTAAAAGAATCAATTTGCCACCCAAATGCTACCACTGTTAAATCTTTTGGTGTTAAATGTTCCTCTAGACATTTTGGTGCATAGTTTTTTGGTGTGTTTACATAGCTGTTATTCTACTGTATATACAATTTTATGTCTCTTTTGTACTTGACATATAAACATTTTTTTCCATGTTAACAGTCTTGAACAGAATTTTATGGCTGCAGCCTTTTTCACTGAGTTTGTATAGCATTGTTTTCCTGCTTCCCAGAGTTGCAGGGAGGTCCTCTTGGCTCACACTGGGACTGTTACAATGCCATGTGGTTGGATTGTTGGGGCTTCCTCCACCTGCCCCTGGTGACTTAAGGCCTGTGGGCTGGTAGGAGGAACCCTGAGACCCAGCTCTGGGAACACAGCAGCCTGGGTCTCCCCAACCTCAGGCACTTAAGAGCAGCCACAGGGCCAGAAGCAAGTGGCTAGGGAAGACTGTCCTGAGACAACCATCACCTTTAAATACTACATTTGGCACAGATCTTCAGGGTGCTTGTTACCCCAACATGACCCTACCCTCACTACACACACACTCACAGTTTTTCTCTACCTCAACCGTTATTCAGATTGGCAAACTCAGCTGGAGGAAAGTTCATCCAGCTAGGCCAGAAGGCAGGCAAGTATAGTGGGGCCTCTGCTTTAAGGCTCATGCATCAGGTTTGGTCCATTACTTGTAGCCAACCCCTGGTAAGTGAGTTAGTAACTCCTACAGGCTGCTGCTCTACATCTGCAGAGTAACAGGACCTGCCTCCTGCCCCTTGCCTTGTTCTCTCTGAAAGAGAACAGGCTTGCTACTTTCCCGCAGTCTATTAGCTAGGGCAGTGAAGGGAACATCCTGGCTCATAGTCGGCCAGGCAAGGCTCTCTGGTGGAGCCTGCTCAAGGAGGAAGCAAGCCTCACATGACCTGGTGGGAGGACTGTTAGAGGAACAAGTGGAGTAGCATGGCACCCCTTGCAGCAGCCACTTCTGTCACTTTGTTGAGTCTATTTGCAGTTGGGAGACTCACTGCACCTGCTCCCCATGCCTTGGCCTAGTGTGAAGAGCAATAGTGGGCGGTACGCTGGGTCAAAAGTAAGCCAGGTGGTTGTGGGGGCAAGCAGTCTCAGTAGTTGATGTGGGTGAGAGAGAAGCTCAGCCCATGCTTTGCCAGGGGTAGGGAGAGAAAAGTAAACTACATTGGCCAGCTGCCTAACTGGCAAAGCCCTGGAAAGGTAGCCTCTCCAACATTAAAGCCAACTTGTCAGGACCCAGCTGTGGACAGGTTCAGGCCCAAAGTCTTGGGCTGTGGAACATGGCTATGTGAAAATGAGAAATGTCTGGTTTTACAGTTTTTTTCTTTCTCTTCCTTAGAGAATGTATAGGCATGAAGAGGGAATGGTAATGACAAGGTTCTGAGAGCCTCTCATGGGTTAAATACTACATGAATTTTTTTTTTTTTTTTTGTCAACTCTGGAGCCTATTGGGCCTCCTTCCAGGCTGCAGTCCAAGGATGTGAGGTGCCTTTTGGGAATTCAGCTCAGTTGTAAACTGAAGTAGGAGTGAGTCGGTAGGGCAGTTCAGGAAGGTGGCTGCCTTATAATTCAGTAAATACCACCTAAGCCTTGGGAGGAAGGTGGGGCAATCCTACTTCCGTAGTGATACTGCCTCGGAAACCCAAGGAGGGGTCGCTATGAGTCGGGGCCGACTCGATGGCACATAACAACAACAAGCCTTGGGAAACCCAAGATGACGACAATCTTATGGAGAAGGTGAAGCAGCACAGTGCTCATCTAACAGCAAGCCCCAGGGCCCCAACCCACTTTTCTCCAGCGAAGTCTAGTTTTATGGAGATGTGCATTCAAAAACAAGTTAAAGGTAGCCCACTTGGTGCCCCGAACTCAGGAGCTCACAGCTAGTGGTGGAAGCCTCCTTTCTGTTCCCTGGGCAATCACTCCCTCACAGGGGTGGGGAGGGACAAAGAAAATATGGTCCTGACTCCAAGGAACTCACAAGGTGGAGCTAAGGCTAATCCACTAGAAAAGTATCAAGAGACAGCAAAAGCTGTCCAGCAAATCACGATTCAAAAGGGCTCTTCTGCACAAAACTATTTAATAATAGAGAAGTGATGGAGAATGACAAAGCAAAGGCACGTTTGTGGCATCAGGGCAGGCTGAGGCCAGGCTGGAGGTAGGAGCCTGTGATCACAGCCCAGCCCCACCCTGACTCCCAGGCTCCTCTTGCCACTTTTTACTCTCCCCTGACCTTAGCCCCAGGGCCTGTGCCTTGCCTACAGTGGAAGAGGAGCTGTCTTCAAGATGGCTGGTCCAGCAGATGTAAGGCTGCCCAAAGGTTCCTATCCTGCATGGATTTTGGGGATTGTTCAATGATTCCCTGACATTCATGGGTTAGAGACCTAGATCCAAATACTGGGACTGTCCCTTCTGGCATCCTTGGCCAATACCCTTAGCCCAGGTGTCCTCTTTTGGGACTAATACCTTGGACTGTTGCAGATCCTGTCTGAGGAGCCTTGTAATGGTGTCCTAAACTGTAAGATACCTCCACCAGTGGGACACTGACATTAGTGCCCCTTCCTGCCTGCTACAGGGGTGCCTTGTGAGCCAGGCTCTACACTCTTTGAGCTCTGACTGATATAAATGCTCCTCTTGGATGGGTGTGACTTGGGGTGAGGGGCACGAGTACTGGGATGTGTCTGGGGGCAGGGCATAAAAGGCTTGTTCATGGCCGCAGTGGAGGGATACCCAGACTGCACCAGCCCAAGTGGTTTTGGGATGCAGTGTCCTGCCTGAATCCTCAGTGGCCACTGCCTCCTTGGCACCGGCTGTACAAAGGAATCACGAACACAGAGACGTCATCGTAGGACACCTGCCTTTCTCCCATGGGGCCATCCTCAGTCCCCTGTGTACTGTGGATCAGCATTTGGGCCAGCTCCGAGAACCTGTAGAGATCATCCTGCAGATGCATGTCATGGGCACAGCAAAGGGGCCAGCTCTCAAGAACCCACTGCACAAAGCTGGACACTTGAGGATACAAACAATATAGTCTAACTGTGGGGCCCCAGGCAAGCCACAAGCCTGAGAAGGCCATAGGCTAGACCCAGAGGTTTTGGGGTAGGAAAGAACAATCACACTCATCCCAGGAAGCTTGACACAGCCCTGATGCTTGCCTCCCACCCTTAGCCAGGTTCACTGGCAGTATCGTCTTCTCAGCCGTAATTGCTTTTTGGTGCTGCTGGCACTAGCCCAGGGCCAGGCAGGTCCCCAGCAGCTACAGTACCTGTGTGAGTCTTCTCGGTTCCCAGGGAGAAAGTGCTGCACCATCCGTGCCACCTGCTCATTGGACAGGACATCCCAGAGCCCGTCAGTTGCCATGACAACCACATCCTCCTCCTGTGGCTCCAGCTGGTCCAGATCCAGCACAGTCACCTGCAAGCGAAGCCCGAGGAGCCCTCAGCACCACTTCGTAGCTCCCACTAGCCTCATCTTCCACCTTTCTTGGCAGATGGAAGTTGGGGTGGGCCATATGGCCCCCTCACCTGTGGGACAGAGAGCAAGAAGGGTTTGACCTGGATGTTTGTGTCCAGGACTCTGAGCCGATGGTCTCCTAGGCCCCGGGAGACGGCCAGTGTTCCCAGTAACCGTGCCTGAGGACAAAGGGTAATGAGGTGATAGCAAGACGCCCCAGCGAAATTATAAGTACCAGCCTCTAGCACTGCAGCACACAGAGAGAGGGGAACACAGCCCTTGAGGGTCCAGGACTGAGGAATAAACACTGGCCTCAGAGAGCAGACACCAAGACACCAGCCACAGCCACAGGAAGGGACAAAGAGAGCTCCCACTTCTGCAGTAGGTAATTTAAGAGGGCTTCTTGGAGGGAAGCCAGGTACTGACCTGCCTACCCTGTCCATGGATCAGTGGGTACTTGAGATCTGACTTCTCCACGTGCTTGTAACTCCTACCAGGAGCAGACCCAGCATCAACCCAGCCCCGCCCCATCTCATCTCTCCCCAGCCCAGGACCCAGCCACCACATGCTCACAGTTACCCACTGCCCAGATGGAAGGGGACTGATACAGGCCACACAGCTGGGCCAGAGCCCCAGGGCTCTCCCCACCACGTTCTCCACCCTGCCCGGCTCACCATCCGCTCATGTAGTGATCCCTGAACAAAACCTTCTGACCCAAGTCATCCCCTTTCAGGCGCCGAGGGAACTCTAGTCGGGTGAACTCACCAGCCAGGAGCTCAGGGTAAACAAAGGCCTGGGGTAGGGAGAATGTGCTCAGGTTAGGCTCCCTCCTGTGGCCTCTGGTGGCCCTGGGCCCAGGAGTGGAGGCTCCATGGCCTCCCTCTGCCAAGGGCACCTACTAGCTGCTGGATCCGCTGCCGCTCGGTCTCTGGGGTGAACTCAGAACTCAGTGGCCGTACTTCATTTCTCCTTACCAAGATGGCCCTGGGGGTAGGGCAGAAAGAAGAAGTCTATGGGACAGTCTCCACCTCTCACTCATGGCCTCTTTCCTTCTGGCCTCTTCTCCAACCACCTGGAGCCAGCTCTGCCCACGTCAATCCCTTGGTCAAAGCCCTCCATGACTCACTATGGTCTGCAGATAAAAGCTCAGCCCTACAGACTGGTACTTGAGGCCCCTGCTCAACCTGTGAAGCGCATACTAGGTACATACATAAAAACCAAGGCAGTTATCCTCCTCATGTACACTTCACAACTTCCAGCTCCCTTTCTCTATCTCTGCTGCCTTTGGTGCCCAGCTCCCCACCCTCCGGGACTCACTCACCTGCTATCCCCGGCATTGGCCACATACAGCTTTCCCTGCAGGGACACAGCCACCAGGGCTGTGCAGCCTCCCACCTGGCCCGAGGCCTCCAGCTCCCGCCTGATCACCTCATCCTAGGGCAAACCAAGGCCACCTCAGTTGCCGTATTTACTACAACCATACCACTCTGCCCCCAACTCCCACCCTGCGGTTCACTTCCTGCCTGGCTGGCCCAGCCCAGACATCCTCATGGTAGGGAGATCTAGACATATCCCGAGAGGGCAGGAAACTGGCCCCAGGCTGAATGTGCCCAAGGTATGGTAGAAGCACCTAGCACATAGTAGGTCTAGATAAATGGGAGCAGTTATGATGACAATGGCAGCCATTAGTAATGAACAAACAAATCCAATCTCATCTTTTCAATCCAAAGATGCAGGGTGACCAGTATCATGTGTAAGGATTCCCTACAACCCCAAGGTCCCCCAGGCCCCCAGGGCAGACCCTCCTCTCTGGGCCAAAGGCCACACTCACACATTCCTGGAAGGCACTCTCCAGAGCCCCGATTACCACGTCTTCTGCCCGGATGCCCTTTTCTTCCACAAACTGGGGGTCACTGGGGCAGATGCAGCGGCCACTGAGGTTCATGGGGGGCTGAGTGGCCACCAAACCTTCTACCACAGCCTCCAGCTGCCGGCGCAGGCAGGAGTGTAGCGTGTTGGCAGCCACAATGGCAGCTGCAGGACCACCATGCCCATCAAACAGGGCCCAGTAATGACCTGTTAGGAACTGTACAGTAAAGGCTTGATGTAAGTAAGGTCCCATATGGCTTGCACAGTAGTCCCCTGGGCTAGCCAGAATCAAGACATGGGACAGCAGGGCAGGAATCTCAGCCAGCATGGTGTCCTAGCCCCACCTCGGAGAGGGGCTCAGGCCCTCTGCACTCACCTCTTCTGGGCACAGGGTCAGCCACTCCTGGTCCTCTTCAGCCCCAAATTCAGATCGCTGGATGCTCAGCTGCCCACAGGAGGCCTGATCCTCATTGAACTCAGATTTCTCTGCATTGATGATCCTGAGGCCCGGAAGTAGTCAGTGACCCTTTAGGGATACACCCACGCCCCCATGACAAGAGACCTAAGCTGCCATTTGGAAAGAGGAACCCTCTCACTGAGGCAACAGTCCTCATGCTATTCCTGACAGATACCTGGACAACCACAATTTCCATTTCCTAACTAGTTAGAAGCTCTGGTGGCATAGTGCCTAAGGTATTTGACTGCTAACCAGAAGGCTGATGGTTCAAACCTATCAACCACTCCATGGAAGGAAGACTGGGAAATCTACTTCTGTAGAGATTTACTGCCTTGGAAACCGAAAGGGGGTTGCTATGAGTCTGAATGGACTCGGTAACAGTGAGTTTAGTTTTTGTGGTTTAACTATCCAGTGACCTCATGGCTAAGGAAAAACTCAGAGCCCAGCTCCTCTGGAGCTTGCTTGCTGACTTGGGCTGGAAGGTCTGAGTGGAGCTGCCAAAGGAGATCAGGGCTCCCTTTTCTATTTCAGCTTTATCTCACTTGTCCCATACTGTGCAAATCCACGGTAAGATATGTGTTTGTGATTCCAAGGCCCAGACTGCTGGTACTCTACCCAGTCACCCTGCTTCATACTGGAAGCCCCTGGGGTGCAGCTCCTTTCCCATCCCCAACCCTTTCTGAAGGAGGCTGGTGTCTCAAAGAAAGAGTTTGTAAGGGATAAGGGATAGGATTGTCAAGGGTGCCAAAGTGAGGACAAGAGGTTTGGGGGTGTCACTCACTCAGTTTAACCTGTGTTCTGGGTCAGGTAAGGGCCCCAGGCTGGATCAGGCAGGGGCCTTAGGGTCAGGGGTCCGGGGTGGGGTTCATCCCGGTGAGGGTCGCCCCAGGGTTGGGGGGTGTCCCGGGTAGGGGGTCTTCCAAACTGGGGGCACTCACTCGGCGTAGCCCGCGTTCCAGGGCAACACACGGCCCCGCGCTGGGCTGCGCACGGGCCGGACGTCCCGGCGGCGCGAGGCTTCGGTGGCGCCTGGGCCGGAGCCCGAGCCGCGCAGGAAGCGGGGCCGTCTGTAGGGCACCGGGCTGGCGCGGGGCCCGGGGGGCCGCGGCGAGGGGAGCGGACCCCCCGGCAGGAGGCGGCGCCGGAACCATCCAGCGGACATGGCGTGACAGCAGAAGTCTGCCCACCGAGAGCTGGGGTGGGAGTGCCGAGCCGGACGTGGGAGGAGGAAGCTGGCCTGGGGGGCGGGGCCGAGGCAGAGCGGCGACGCCCCCAAACCCCAATCCGCAGCCCGGCTATCGGCTATAGGCTTGTCAATCCTCAACAGCCCTTGGAAGCAAACGCCATTATCAATCCCATTTTACAGGCAAAAAAAAAACAAAGTCTAGAGAGCCGCAATAGCCTCCTTGTGCCACCGATCAAAATTGAATGTTCACCCCACGTCCAGGGGACTAGATCTTGGAAGAGAAAAGATCCTTCTCCCCACCCAACAGGGATGAGGGGGCGGGGGAGGTGTCGTTGCCCCGGCTGGGTCTATGTCTACAGCAGTGCTTCAAACTTCCTCCCACTGAACTCAGACCTTACGCAAGAGAAAGATGGGGACAGGATGTTCTTGGAGGTACCAGAGGATACATTGAGTAAGAGTCTCTCAGACACAGTGTTCCCTCAGGTGGCCCAGCCTGGCACCCTCCAACCTCAGATGGGGCTTACTTGTCACCCTGGCCTCCCAGATTCAGGAACTCTGCTCCCACCTGGGCCCAGTCTCCCAAACTGCTGCCCCTCCAACCAAGATGTTCACTTTGGACAACAGGATTGGTGGAAATCCATCAATCAAGAGGGAAATCCATTTTTAAGGGGAATCCCAGGTCCCAAAAAGCCTCCATGGTCAGTGCAGATGTAGGACTAAGAGAAGTGAAAGATTTTCAACTGGGCTGGAGACAAGCTGTTTCAGTCTCTTATCTTAGTCTGTCACCATGGGGACAAGGACATTGTCCTCCTTCACATCTACATGAGAGCAAAGCAATTTATCATCCTTTTACTACTTAAACCCCACTCCCTGTGCCAGACTGCTACTTTCATTTCATAATGGAAGAGTCTGAGGCCCTGAAGCCCAGGGAGGGGAAGTCTCCCCACACACATAGCTGTGATGTTTCCATTATGACAGTGCTGCTGACTCAAAACCCTTCTCAGGGGATTTCTCTTCCCCTTTCCTCCTCCAGGAAGGCAGGGCTTACAAACTCAAAGTCCCTGAGGCCCCATAGCTCTGTGTCCCCAGGGAGGGTGACAAGAGGAAGCCCTATCTTCTTCACCTCTACTCCCAAGCCCAGGTGCAGGCTCAGTAGGTTCACTTCCTTCCCTTGGCCAGCCCTGCCCCACTGGGAGTTTTCCTGCTCCAGGGAAGAGGGTTCTGGGGACAAGGAGCTGTGCCCCCACCTCAGTGGCTCAGTTCCAAAGCAGTCTGGAGGCTGATTTACTGAACACACAGTGTGTGCCAGGCCATACACAGGGCACAGGAGTACAGTGTTAATGGACATGAGCCGGACATCTGCCCAATGAGCTCCAAGGCAGTGATGGTAGAGGCCCTGGCATGGAGGGTGGTACTTGATCCAACTGGTGACAGGGGTGGGAACCAGATCATGGAACTTTTCAAAGAACATCTGGGCTGAGACCTGTCACTGAGACAGAAATGGACCCGGGGCGGGGGGGTCATCCCCAATTCAGTCTGTGGGGTTACTTCCTCACTCTCCCAACACCTGATTGTTAAGAGGCTTTTAAAGTCTGCAGTTAGAAGAAATAACAGTCTATTTCCCAAGCCACTGTCGCAGTCTCACCTGGGCAGGGTGAAGGTCCTGTCCTGTAAGGTGTATTCACAGAAGCTATGGCAGTCAGATGACACAGGCAGTTAGCTACCCAGCCTAGCTATCTCAATTCATGTGGAGTCATTTGGTAACCCCATCTATCCTCCCTGTTCCAAGATGGTCTGAGTGTTCCTTTGGTGCTACCCAGTCCTCCCTGGCTCCCTACATTGCTCTTCTAGGCACATCTGCTCTTGCCTAAATCCTAAGCCTGACTCTCTTTGTTTACTCCCTGTGGTAGTTAAGGTTATGTGTCAACTTGGCTGGGCTGTGGTTTTGAGGGCATAGTAGCTGGATGCAGTTATTCCCTGTGATGAGATTGTAATCACCTCCATGGTAGAATCTGCTGTGAGCAGCTGTGGTGTAGTAAATTACTTAGTATGGCTTTTCTACCCATAAGTCATTGTAAACTCAGTGGTGGAATGAGCAACTGAGGAGCTCCTGATTGTAAATGTTATCTATCTGGGTTATTTCTGTTGGGCGTGGCACAATGCAATGTTATGGGACGCTCACTCTCAGGTGCTTAGAATTCTGTTGTTATGATTGGTTGGTTTGGCCACTCTGCCAAGCTCAAAAGGAGGCCTCCTAGAGGCAGAACTCTCTCTGACTGCTGGTTGAGGAAGACGTGCTGCCAAAAGAGACACGTGCTGCTGGAAGAGACACGCATTGCTGAGTAAGACACCG